GGAATGCATCACACGCTTCTCTAATTGTTTTATATTCATCGTGACTTGGTAGAATAGCACAATCTTCTTTAATACTCAAATATTCTTCATATCCCGGGAATGGAAGAGGTTGCCATGTTTCTTCTGCTGATAAATTTAAGTGTTGTTCTTTTTCATAGTTTGCAATGTTGTTTATAAAATCTGTATAAGTTGTTAGCGAATCACATCCTTCTCTGCTATTCTTGAATGCTTCATAACTAGGTAAGTTATCACAGTCTTGTTTGATCTTCAAATATTCATCATAATTTGGTAATGGGAGTGGTTGAAAGATTTCTCTTTTGGTTCTGTTGGATTTTTTGTCTACACCTTTCGATTTCTCATCATGAACTGTCCAGTCTTCATCTTTCCGTTGTTTCCTCAATGCTTCGATTTCTTTTCTTTCAGCCTCTTCCTGAGCTTTCTTAGTTTTCTCCTGTTTCTTTTTCTCAAATTCTTCTTCCTTCTTTAGCTTTCCTTGTTTCTTTTTTTCAAAATCTTTCAGATCTGCTTCATACTGTTTTTGCCTTTCTTGTTCTCGCTTTCTCAATTCATCTTGTTCACGTTTTCTGAGTTCTTCTTGTTCACGTCTTTTGTTTTCATCTTGTTCACGTTTTCTGAGTTCTTCTTGTTCACGTTTTCTTCTGTCGTCCTCCTGTTGTTGTCTTTGACGTTGAATATCTTGTTGAGAATATGATGGGATTGGAATAGGAATGTGTCTTGGAGAATATTGAGATCTTTCAATTCTTTTTACAGCAAAGCCTTCATCACTGATCATTAGATTTGAGTTGCAATCTTGTACTGTTTTATTGGATTGGAAATTGAGTGCGATTTGGTTCTTATTGTTAACCCAAAGTTTGTTATTGTACATCCCATCAAGTATTCCAATAGAGATAAATTGACATTTCTGATCTCTGTTAACATCCCATGTTATAATTTCATTTTTCTTGATCTCACAGAAACCGTCTTGATACTTGCAATTATTCATATCTGCCAGAATATTGGTTGGCTTAGATTGATTGAAATGAGAATAAACTTTCGTCTCAATAGACTAGTACATTTTCTTTGT